CCAGCCATGCTGGCTGGGGAATTCTGGGAGTTGGTGTCCACACATCTTCAAGCTACCAAGGTTGAGAAACACTGGTTTAAGGTAACAGAGTTGAATGAAATATATGCCTCGGGCTAACCATATTGACTGCAGTTTTAATTCAGTCAAATGGAAATCAAATGCAATTTTTGCCCTGGCCTCATCTATGGCATTTGGGAGGTGGTGGTTCTCAATAGCCATTCAAAGCCCCATGGGCTTCTTAGCCTGGGAAAGGTGGTGTGGTTGTGATTTAGACAACGGGAAGCTCAGACGGGTGGCATTGTCCGGAACTTGCTGCGTTTGTCAGAATGATGGAAGGGGTATCTCAAGTTTGCATTGCAAGTTTCCTAAAAGAAAAGGAGGGGGTCTCTAGTTTTGGGAACCTGGAATTCAGAATTGCCATTTCGTAGACAAGGTGGTGAAGATCAGGAGGAGCCACTGATCTTTCATTGAGGTCGCCACTAAGGGATTGCTAAATTCATCTTTGATTCTTCTGCAGAAAGGGACTGTTTGGCACGATACCTTTATAAATGAGGAGTCCAATCCTTAGAAGCTGCAGTAAAATACCCATCAACTTGGTTTTCTCACTCCTCATGCTTTCTCACCCATTTATTCTCAGGAATATCCAACAGTAGAACCTTAAAAAAAAAAACCTAAAATTATCTCCATGTTTGAATGCACGCACATTAAATATTACGAGATTATTCATTTTTGTGTCACAGAACAGGGAGAAATCCATCCTGCCCACCCTCTTCTAATGACACTCCTATCAAGAAAGCTTTTCCAGAGGTCATCTTGCCATACTGTCCTTTGCAAATTCAGATTGAAGTTTTTTCCACCAAGGCGGCAAAACTGGCTTCTGGTGTATAATGAATGAATCAGTTCCATTTAACAGATAGGAGATCTTCTACGGGTAACAGCTAGAAACATCTTTATCCAGCTTAATTCCAGCAGATCTGTGTAATAGAAGGGACAGCTTTTCCTGCCTAGTGTCACAGGTGTGTTTTCAGAGACTCTGTTCCATGCTGTTATATTGTGCTTCACAATTCCTATTAAATATTATTTGGAAACCAAACCATCCATGCTTGCCTGCATCTGCAAGAACACTGAATCGGTCAAGGTTTTGACAAACAACATTGAATTTGCAAGATATTCTCAGTCGGGGTGAAAGTTCTGAGGCGCCTTTTGCCTCCAAGTAATTCCTTCTATCTTGTGCTACTTTTCAAAGCCTACTTCAGTTGGAACAAATCCAAACCAGTCCCAGGCCTACCACTGGATGGAGTAAGCTGTTGTCTTAGCAAATACGTAGGGAACAGCTGAGGGTAATGCTCCTGTGTCAACAGCCCAGTGAGGACAATTAAGGGGTTTGCATAAGGCCTTAAGCTTGGATTGACAAACCTCAGTGACTGAATTCACGTGCTAGGCAAAGCTACAAATGAGCAAGTCACATTACGACTTAGCACGCTGTGGAACCAGGCAACCCTTGCCATTGGAATATTTGGTTATAACTGGCAAGTACAGACAGGCTTCCAATGAAGACTCCGAACCAGCAAAGCAGTGAGGCCAGGCTCTGATGGTTGCCGGATGACTGGATAATTCTGAAATGCTGTTTATAGTTAGGAGGAATGTCCAAATTGGGTGCCTGTCCAAAACCTCCAGGAAAGCTATGGCAAACCTAGATAGCATATTAAAAAGCAGAGACGTCGCCTTGCCGACAAAG